AATTTACAGTTAGAAATCCGACCTCCCTCCGACAACAACGAAGAACCCAACAAACCCACAAACCTGCGATTCACGGTACTGTTTTCGTACAACCCAACACCGGAGACGACCAATGCGATCTCGTGGTTTTGGCGCCAAATGGAATTCGAGCTCATCGAAGAAGAGAAAGCTCCCAGTCCCAGCGCAAAGGTTATCGAGGTGGAGAGACCGGCTTCGCCGGAGGAGACTTGTATCGAAAACGAACGGAAGTTCTTTTTCGAGGTCGGCGAAAGACTGCGGAGCTTTGCCAAAAAGAATTCCAGGAAGTCGGGAAAAGTGGGGCGCGCCATGTCGGCTGTCTCCGGAATGATGGTTGTTCCTTTGGATGCTCGCACAAACTATAAACGCCAGAGGTCATCCAGGTAAGACCCAATCTCAGGATTGTTTCATGAAACTGTTCTCTAACAGCGTTTAGCTTGCAAGTAGCCCCCTCCAGATCACCACCAAAAGTCTCATTCAACGTCAATTCGGGCCCCAGGGGTCGCGCGCTGCCACCCTCGCCAAAGGGTTCTACCAAAAGCACAGGGGCCTCAATCGAAGATCTGTGCACGAGCATACAACTCGGAGACCGCGAAGGGTCATGTCTCGGTGTCCTCGTCGACCAACGCAAACGGATCAAGCATCGCATCTGGCCAGTAAAGACCACATACACGGCGGAGGCCATATCGCTGCAAGACGTGTTCCTAAAGCACCACACATCGCTGACCGACCGGCTGCGCCTGGCCGTCAAGCTCGCCTATGCAGTTATGCAGCTGCACGACACCGACTGGCTGAACGAGCGCTGGGGCAAGAACGACATCTACTTCCCGCAAACCTATGACCCGCGCCTAGGCACCAAGCCGGTGATCGACCGGCCCTTCGTGCGGCGCATATTCAAGCCCTTGGGAACGCCGCCGGCAGCCCCCGCTGGGCCGTTGGAGCTGAACATCATCCAGTACAACAAAAGCATCTTCTCGCTGGGGGTGATGTTGGTGCAGCTTTGGTACGGGATCGCGCTTGACGAGCCGTTGAGTCAGGGGGACAGTAGTTATCCGGCTACGACGGGGCGGATTATACAGATTATAGAGGGCGAGGATGCGATTGCGTCGTATAGTTTGGCGGTGCGCAGGTGCATTGGAGGCCTGGATCATAAGCATGCGGACCTGGGCAAGGAGGACTTTAAGGCTAAGGTGTGTCTGGAGGTCATTCGGCCGTTGGAAGAGTCGTTGGAGTCGTTTTGTAATTTAGTAGGCTAGCTGTCCGTCAAGAGGTCTGAAGACTTGATAAATACACACGCATACATACTTAGTTATTTGTCTCTTCCAATTTGCGCCACAATGTCGATGACACAACTTTTTTTAGCGTAGCACTCGAGTTGGAGATGAGAGAATGATACTCTACTCTACAAGAAGAAAAATAGAAGAGCAGAATAAAAGCGACGAGGTCTGACCCAAGCTGAACTGAACCCACGCGATCAAGACCGAACGATCGAATGGATTATGCAGGATTGCCCACTTCAACACTTTGGTCGTTATTCATAGGTTTACTTCTAGTACTAAGTACCATTAAAAAAGCAGTTTACATAATACTACATAATGTTACACAATAATTCATATTTTTTGCTTCCATTGCGCCCCCAAAACTTTTATCGAGATCTCGTCTCTAGCTAGCCGGCAATTGACGCCCATCTTCTCTGTGGCCGCAGCCAATTCGTGGCATTTCGTCGATGTCGTCATACAAACGTCACAATCATAATAGGTATTCCGTTCGATTCCGCAAAAGCCCTGATCAACAAATCTGCAGTCTTGCGAAAAGTCGTTGCAAGTTGAAACTTCTACTGTCGGATTAACAAAAGTCCCTTCGCGATGAACGTCAATTCGTGCTCTTACCCAAGAACATAATTGAAATTTTCGTCTCCTTCATCCGCCGTCTAGCCCGGCGCGCCCCCAAACGACGTCGACCCGTCCCCAAGCTTCATCTGGACTACTCGCTCGAACGGCCGCCCCTTATTCCACAGCCGCAGCTCCCCCATCTCTGCGCGCGCATCCGCGAGGTGCTGTGCGGCCGCGGTCGGCGCGCGCTGGCGCGCCTTCTTCTGGCGGCTCTCGACCAGCGCGCGCTCGGCCTGCTGGCGCTCGTAGGTCATTCTCTGGTGATGCATGATCTCTCGTATCGTAATCGCAATCGCAATCGTGTTTGTATTCGTACTTGTGTAGTAGCTATGAAGCTGGTAGGATGGATAAGCTGCGGCGGCGACGGCGACGGCAGCGCTGCAATCCTTAAATATTGCCGATCGAAGATCGGAGCGCTCCCAGCCATCCATGGCAGCGCCGTCACGTGCGGGGGCACAAAGCGCCGACCAGCCCATCAACAGGCCACTTGGATGTGTGCAACGCGACTGCCAAGGTTGCGCGCTGCAGGAAACGGTGGTGCGGATCGGGGGAACTCGCGGCGGGGGGACACATGACGCGGCGGTGCACCAATCATGGCGCCCCCCACGGTGGCGATCGAGGATGGGAGGGAAGCTTGTGGAAGGTGCGGGGAGGTGCGGAGAGGGCTTGGACGGAAGCGGATGGAACTGGGGGAAATGGTGGAATTGAAGTCATCGGGGAAGCGAGCTGGCGAGTGCTGGGTCCTGATGGACTTCCGTTTTGGCCGAGCTGCTGCTCGGGGGTGCCGGTTTTGAATAGGACAGTTCAATTGGCGGCACTGGTTGGAACAGAGCTGGTGAATTCGAAAAGTTCTGGCTTGAAGTAAAGTGGGATTATCAATAGTGCTAAGATGCCATGGGGATTATGTTTCCAAGGACCAAGTGGCCCAGATAGTTTTGGTATCAGCTTCCCACCGTAAATAATCCGAACCAGGTTATAGCTTGAAGTAAACTCCGCTTGATTGATAATGCATCAGCTAAACAAGAAAAACCCCTGCCTCCTGTGGCTATCTACTCTTTCCAAAAAAGCCCAGTCAACAACCAGCGTCCAAAGACAACCCATCACAACAAACTTGCGTATAACGGAATATATCCGACTCTACCAGCGAAGGTGACCGAAAGCAAAAGTTTATGCGCCAAACCCGGATCGAACGGGTGACCTTCAGATAATTGACTGAATGACTTCAGTCTGACGCTCTCCCAACTGAGCTATTAGCGCTTGTTCATGTTGGAGAGCCGCAAAGTGCAAACACATAATTACAAATGGATTTGTGTTACGAAACCACAATCGGTGCAACAAAGAACAGACGAAAAGGCTCCAATATAGGGTGCCTGCATGTATTTCGCATTTGGATTTACAAAAAAGTTGCATCGGCGGGTTCCGGCCATTCACAATCCCGCTCGAAAAGGCGAGTGTTCGGCAATTTCGAGAAATATCTAGTCTGGGTACTAGAACATGTGCTGGAACTTCAAACCACAAGTACCATCTGTTCGGCACGTGATCGCCATTGCAAGGCTTGGAGAAGTTGAATTATCATAAACTTCTCGGTATGATTGGAAAAGATCGTTTCGTTTCTAAATTTAGGATGTCTCGTTTCTAGAATTCTACGTCACAAACAAAGCAAGTTCCGGCGTTTTTTTTCGAGATGCGATCCAAGCCACACCATGCAACTCTATCCGGACAACGGGTTGAGCATATAACGGTTTTCTCACACATGCCGTTTCAAACAGTCCAACTTGCACTGCACGAAAGACCTGTGTTTCAGCACGAATGGCGCAGCGAACATTCGATTCTGTCGCCCTGTTTCTGCGTCCACATCTACCAATTTTCCCGTGGTGTGTCCATTTCTCACAATAACACCGTCCACCTCAACTGCGACTGCACTCAGACCACCTTCAAACGAGCGACTAAATCGGGAGACCTGGAATTATACAATAAGACTGGGTCGCTCTCAAGCGCGTATCGCCCCAAACACCAAAGGGCAGACCCTTAGAATGTGATGGAATCATAGCACAGGACTCTATACATCTCGTCGTTGCCACACCGCTCTATCTGCTGACCTTCCTCGTGCCTCACAAGTTCCCTTTAGACGCCCAATCCAACTTTCTATATATCCCAACGGTCAATCGAGGCGTTCTCCTCAGGCCGGGGCGTAGATCGTACATATATCTCCAGACTGCAGTTGGCGGCACAGGACTGCCCAGAGAGGGTGCTTCGTTGCGGACCCTGTCGCGACGTATAACCAACGCATATATGAGAGGGCATAGTCTATTTATAGATCCATAGAATGTAGTTTTATTATATCATAGCGAGATTGTTTGTGCGTGTTAGATTTCTCAGACAGCGTTTGAACACTCCGCCGCCACTGCGCTCGCTACTGACGTCGACGCGAAAAGTGCAGCAGGACGGATTCCAGCACAGCTCCTCACTCGGTTGGTCCGCGCGAACTAAAAAGGTCCGGATAGAGCATACCCAAGCGCTAGACACCTCGAAGAAGCCACCACTACTACCCCCATAACCGAAGCCTCAGATCGGAAAAAACAATCTTTTTTCCTCGCGTCATGGTCGCACCAGACAGAGTGGCAGAACCAATCGAACCGCGAGATGAGACGGTCGAAGGGAGAGGGGTGAAGGGAGGTTCGTGTTGGGATCAGGTTCGTATTCTTTGGAGATGTTTCTCATGTGCTATAGCATATTTTATGTAAATGGAATCTATGTGGCTATGTGCGAGGGAAGCTGAGGGAGGTCACGTGAAGGGGCTGGTACGAGTGAGATTCAGTGAACAAACTTGAAATCTGGAAATGCTGGTCCCAATCAACTTTGAACTCCAGCTGTCACCTCCACCTCATCTGCATCCTTCTGTCAGCCTCGAAAAATTCCCCTTATCCAATGGTTCTGGTCACCTTCCTTCCCTCTCTCTCTATTCCCGTGTTGCTAAGCCCCCCAAAATAAAGCAAAAGCATACTCTATCGCCACCCCTCCAGAAAGAAAACGGATACGCTTAACGGAGAAAATTTGTTGTGCCTCCCTGGTCAGGAGGAACAAAAGGAATGCAATCGCCGGGAATCGAACCCGGTCCCCCCGCTTGGGAAGCGGAAATCTTAACCAATCGACCACGAATGCTTGCTGGAACTATGACTTCTTTTATCGTCAGGACCTAGTCCAAAGAACTGTGGGATAAGTTTTGAAAGGGCAGTGAAGGCGTGGCGCTGGAGAGGAGGAGGATCGCATGTGAGTACCATCCACCGCCCGACCAGCCTCTACCGACCCGCCGGGCCGTCGTACTTAATTCTGCAGATCCACATGCACAGTAGTTATTGAGGTTGAGCCACGTTGTATAAGTGACTGGGGGTTGTGAATTCGGTGTGGCGCTGTGAGTAGATAATGGACTATGCGAGAGCGAGATAAAGAGACGAAAGAAGGTCGTGGCCGTGGAAGGTGTGGAATAAAGCGATCGCCGATCGGAATGCGGAAGTAAAAGTATGTACTGGAAAAAGTGACGGGCATTGTACATGTTAGTCCGACAAATTATTGGCTAGGAAAAGTTTAATGGATCGATTCCAAGCCCGCAGAGGCAAGAGAAGACGAGGTCCTCGTACCCTTAAAATTCTCTGGATATAACGAGATCTCGCTGTTTGACATAGAGCTTTGAAGACTGGAGATGACTAGATAATTTGTAGATGCCCTGCATCCAACACCACTAGACCATGCACTCGCGATTCCGAGTGATTTCTTAAGTATGGAGCTGAGCACGTATGGAGATTTGCTGACCAGGGCGTCAAATCTGCGCCAGTGCAGAGGTCCTATCTTTGTTTTCACTCTCCCACCCCGCTAGTCGACGGCGTTGCAGATGAAACTTCTGCACCACTGATCACTCGGTTGGGCGCAGACTTCGGCTTGTTTATCAGTCGTGTTTGCTTAGTGCTGTGGCTATTATCTTTGTTTTCTGATCTTCTATGTTTTGTAACTTTAAAACACGTGTGCAAACATAGAATGTCACCACGATCTCCTCCTCCGGTGCCTAACATTCAATGTAATAAACGGACGCGTTAGTAGGAATACCATAGAAGCTGTGTGACTATCTAAGCTGGGGCACACTGTTTTGAATAAAACGGCTATTGAATTATGCCATTCTACGTAATTCATCCTTCGATTAATTGGTAGGCTCGGGTCTCACCGCCGTTAATCTCCGTTTTTCTCTTCCACTTCACGTATGCTTAACTTTACAATCGAATACGATCACACTATCATTCAAGGACTGGCATGCGGATAGTCTGAACTTGGAGGGTCGGAAATTTGGAAAGCTGGGTTTCTTGCTGCGACTGGTGAATATGGCGCTTTTGCACTGGTTGTCACTCGGTTGTGACCGATTCGTCGTGTTGTACGTGTGCAATGAGAACACTCGTTCTCTGTCATCGCATCGTCCATCAGGTTTTCAACAGGTTCGATCGATCAGCTCTGACAATCGAAATGGCGCTTGTCTCCAGCGCTGCAAAGGATTCGAAGATACTTCAATATGATGCGCTATTCATTGCAAAAGTCGCGCTGTCAGAATGTGACAGGCCATGCTCGAACATACACCGGTACAGAGGGCGATGGAAGCATCTCGTCATTTCCAGCCGACCACAGGATGGACCCCAAAGCCAGTCAAACTCATGGCACGAAATAGTCGCAACTACATGGAACGCTAACCGTTCCTGTCCCCCATTTTGGCGCCGCCAAAACAACCCGTGGAACCCAACCCCAACCCGCAGACTTCCACTACTTTCCAACCCAACCCAACCCTCTCCTCAACATGCCACGCCTCTTCCACACCTACGCGAGCTCGACCCTTCGCGCCCGCCCCTCCCCGCCCATCCCGCCGGCGACTCCGCATCGCACGCAACGCGCACATCCACATCACACAATGAGCGACGACCCGATGAGCGACCGCACGCAGCGCGACCCCATGAGTTACCGCACACAGCGTTGCTCCGCGCCCTCGCCGCCGTCGCCGCCGGTGATGCCCATGACGCTCTACCCGCCGCCCAAGCCCATCCGCGGTACCCTCCCCCCCCTCCTCCCCGCTCTCATCCCCGTCTGACGCACACAGAGCAAATCCACGTCCTCAACTTCGAGCTCTGCCGCACCTGCCGTACTACCGTCGACCACAGCCGCGAACCGGCGTCGCTGCTCGCGCCGTGCGGATGTCTGCTGTGCTGCCACGCGCTGCGGCTGTGGTTGCGTGACGGCAGCGCCGAGGTGTGTCCGTCGTGTGGCGCGCCGCCGGGGGTGGTGCTGCAGGACGGGAGGGTTTTGAGGTTCGTATTCTATCCGATTAACGGGGAGGTGGAGTGGGGGTTGGAGTGTGATGAGGGGCGGCGGGTGGGAGGGGGGGCGGCGGGGGGCAGGATATGGGAGTTGATGGGGGAGAAGGTTGATTGATTGAGTTTGGAGAGGTGGGGGATGAATGATTGACAGCAGATGACGAGACAGGACAAAACTTTAAAGGATATGTGGGAATAGTGCAGTAAAGATGGTTCTGTGGGATAGGATGGGACAGGACTGGCCGAGAGCAAAAGGTTATGCGCCAAACCCAGATCGAACGGGTGACCTTCAGATATATGACTGAGTACTTCAGTCTGACGCTCTCCCAACTGAGCTATTAGCGCTGATTGATGAAGCTGTGACCGCTTGAGCGTTAATGATGTTCAGCAGATGATCAGTCTGAGATCGATGCCTTAAGGCACATGAACAAGCATTGATTAACAGAAAAACACATACCTCTACCTACGCCATTTTCCGTCTGCAACAATTGTTAAAGTGTGCAACCCTGCATCATCGACGGTGCGGTTTTTAGTCACGTGGACTGACGTCTTGTGTTGTCTCACTAGTCGTGACCGCCCTGTTTGTGCGCTTTTTTTATTTCTTGGGGAACATTTAACACTTAGAACACAACGAGCAGACTCTTAGGTCCATCACAAATCACGACAGCTCCGATTCCACCTCATCGACCTCATCGACCGACCTCACCCAGCACCCTATCGCGCCAGGAATCTCAAAGCCATACTTTGAACTGCGCACCCGAATCCGAGTACCGTTGAACCCACCTATCACCAGCCCTCTAACATTACCTTCGCATTCTCCACACCCGACCCAAGCCCATGACAGGCCCTCCTACAACCGCCAGCGCGCATCGCAGCATCTACCAAAATAGTCTCTAACCGGTCGTCTGTCTACATCAGTCAATTTCCAATTCCTTACGCCCATCTCATCGTTATTGCCCAAGTGTCACAGCACTTGAAACACCATCTCGCGTGTGGGCAGTGACCTAGAATATTGCTCAGATTGGTATAAGCATTCGTGGTCGATTGGTTAAGATTTCCGCTTCCCAAGCGGGGGGACCGGGTTCGATTCCCGGCGATTGCATCGTTTTGCTGCCCTGTGCACTCAGCGCCTCAAGGCAGTGTAAAGTTTTGGGGTTGGGTTTTTGCGGAGTGCAGAGGGGTTGGGTAAGTGAGGGACAGCTTTTTTGAAGGCTGTGGTCGAGTGAGCGTACGTGTGTGACGAGGCACTTTAGATTTTGTGGTGCACAACGAGCGGTGGAAAAGAGTCAAACTTCGATTACTAGCAAAATTATTCCGGTTGCATTCGTGAGAGAGGAAGGGAAAGTGGCAAAGCGTAGTCTCCTATTTTTAGATTTGCTCACGAAACCTCACTCGCACTGGCCCACACGTGATCGCGCTACAACTGGCTCACACATTATACATATATCCATAATCCATCGACATACGATATGCTATAGCATATAGCAAAAATTCGCGAAATATTCAAAGAACGCACCCAACGCGATCCCTCTCCTGTCACACCACCTACCCAAAACTCCACCTTTCTCTTAACTGTTCTTTTCCCAACCCTACACTCCGCCATGCCCCCCAGCTCAGAGCTCCCATGATATCACCACAACCACTACATCCTAACCCGCAACTTGCAGCCCCTCGGTCGCACCCCCTCCACCACGTCCGCGCCGCAAAGAATCGCTAACGTCGGCCCTGTTCGCGGCGCTCATGCATATAAAAGGGCGCGCCCAGTCGGCCTTTCCTTCGCCCTGCATATCCACATCACCATCATCCTCGCCCTACTACCATCATATCATCCACATCATCCCAGCACCATGACCAACACCGAGAGTCCTCCGGTCACCCAGCTCGCCCAACCCCCAGCAGACGTGTACCAATGGTTCACCCTAGACGAACTAGAAGACCATCTAAACTTATGGCCAACAACTCATCCATATCATCCCTGCATAAGGTCCGAACTCAAGAATAGTGAATTCATCCGGCTCGCCCGACCCTCGGCAGACGTGTACCAATGGCTCACCGCCGACCAACTGAACCAGCGCGCCCGCGATCTCGCCGACGCGCAGCTGCGGCTCGACGCCTACCACCGCAGGTACTCGCATGTGCAGATGGAGATGCACATGGTGATGCAGAGGGATATCGAGAAGGAAAAACAGAGGGAGAGGGACTTGGAGTTGAAGAGGCAGAGGCGGTTGCGGGAGCAGGAGAGAGCTATGTCTTTGCAGAGGCTGTTGCGGGAGGAGGGGGAATCTATGTCTAGGTCGTAGGGATAGAGGACATGGGGATAGTGGGCTTGGGCACGGCGTTGGGGGGTGGGATTTGGGAGGGAATTTGCGGTTGCGGGCGTTGGACGTCGGAGGTGGCAGTTGGCGTTTGGGCACAAATAGGGGACTTTGCGGGTATTTTGGGCTCGAGAATGAGCTGTGCATTGGGCGGTGGCTTCGCGATCTAGCGGGTTGGGCGAGATTGTACGATTGGTGAGAGGGCGAGGGGGGGTGTGTATTGTAATTTTCGTTTAATAACATTAGTCACAGCTTTCTTACAATACAACAATTAAAAACAGACTCTTCCGTGACCGTCGTGAAAGAACTTTGCTATCTCAGAACACTGCAACGTGTCCTGTGACTTCTGGAGCTCACTTCCAAAGCTCGCTGCATTACAATATTCCAAGTCTATTAGTTATTCAAAGAACCTCTCAATGTAACCAACAGAAGCTATAAGGTAGGGTTCCACTCTGGAAATACTGAACTATTTGTCGGTAGAAGACCTGTAGAGCGTTGCAGG